GGGGAGGGTGTCTGGGCCACAGTGAGTTGTGATGCAACTTTACAAGGCCTTTTCTACTGCTTACCCAGAAGCTGAGCCCTGAGGAACTGGCTGGGCTGAAGGCCTCCTTGGCACAGCACTTCATGGCAGGGCCAGGCAAGGCCACTGGGGTGACCTGCCTCTACTTTGTAGAGGAGGGACAGCGGTGAGGACCCTGGGTAGGGATGGGGTGGGTCCCTGCAAGGGCTAGTGATACTGATGGACCTTACCCTACCATCCACAGAAAGACTCCCAGTCTGGAGGGCCTGCCCCTGGAGCACGTGGCTGGAGACCGATGCATCCACGAGGACCTGCTGGGGTTGACCTTCCGGATCTCCCCTCATGCCTTCTTTCAGGTAGCCCCAAATTTCTTAGGATCATGAGGACACATGGAGGGAGACCTGACATGATATCAAGATGTGATGGAGACAGTGGGCTAGGGCAGTGACAAAGGATTAGCCTGGCAAGAGACCTGGGGATAATGTCCAGGCAGGGGAGCCACAAGGATTGTAAGGTAGATGAAAGATCATTTGCCATTAGATTCTTTGACAACCCTCTTGGAGAGCCATATGTGGGGTGTGAGAACAGGAGCTGGAGTAATGCCAGGGCTCTGGTGTGAGCTCTAGTACTCAGAAAAGAGCTTCATAATTGATCGAGGGGTGGTGATATCAGCATCGTTGCCTTTTAAAGCTAGGAGACTGAGGTTGCCAGGCAACCCTCATGGGATTGAGGGTCAGTCTGAGGACTAGGCTTCTGGCTCCCTGATGGTTAGATGTAGGGGGGGGGGGGGGAGGTAGGATCAGGAGACCTAGGAAGAAAGTGAGCGAGCCAGGAATTGGGCCACAGAGGCGGGAAAGATGCCCAGGGAATGCAAGTGCTTGGCATGGGGCAGTGGGGGAGGTGGGCAGGAGGGGAAGCCAACTTGGGCAGCAGGGCTCCCCTGACATCCTTGACACTGCCGGCTCACCCTCCAGGTGAACACCCCGGCAGCCGAGGTGCTCTACACAGTCATCCAGGACTGGGCCCAGCTGGACACAGGGAGCACAGTGCTAGACGTGTGCTGCGGCACTGGCACCATTGGCCTGGCACTGGCCCCGGTGAGCCCTCCTGCCCTTCCTGTGGATACCCTCCCCACACCACCCATGTTGTCACCTGCCTCATGATCCTCCGTGATCCCCAGCCCGAAGACTAAGGTTAACCGTAGTCTGCCAGATTCTCTTCTTCTACTCTCCAAATGCCTCCTGCTGTTCCCTTCCCTAAGAAGCCCCCAGGATGGGTCAGAATGCCATGAGTCTGTCCTTTACTGGTTTCAGAAGGTGAAGAGAGTTGTAGGAATTGAGCTGTGCCAGGAGGCTGTGGAAGATGCCCGGGTGAATGCCCAAGACAATGGTGAGAGCCAGCGCCCCACAAAGGTGGGCAGCAGATGCCTCTGCTGCATACCCTCAGCACAGCACCTGGGACCCACCAGGTGGTTCTTAGGGCCCATGGTGGGTGGGGTGAGGGCAGAGAGTACAGGAGGGCTCCTATTACGTGTACTTAACACATGTCCAGGATGCCTGAGGCTGCCTGATGGGGGAAGGTGAGCAGCCTCCCTAGACAACAGGCTTTCCTAATGCATCTCTGGCCAGGGACTTCAGGACACCAGGCAAAGCCCCGTGGGGGAGAGTGTCCTTGGTCCCCTGACAGGGCTGTCATGCCATGTCCAGAGTTGAGCAATGTTGAGTTCCATTGTGGGAGAGCCGAGGACCTGGTGCCCGCTCTGGTGAGCAGACTGGCCTCCCAGCAGCTCGTTGCCATCCTGGACCCTCCTCGTGCTGGCCTGCGTAAGTGGTCTCCATTTGGGGGTTGTTAAGGGGAAGATGGTGGGCAGGGATGTTGGGATGGCACACCAAGCTGTGCAGCCTCAGACCTGATGCCCATCCCATCTGGGTCTCCTCAGATTCCAAAGTGATCCTGGCTGTCCGAAGAGCCGAGAACCTCAAACGGCTCCTGTACGTCTCTTGCAACCCCCGGGCAGCCATGGGCAACTTTGTTGAGTGAGTGTGAGGTGGGGGGATCTGGGGTGGATTGGGGCCCTGCACACAACCTCCCCCTCCTCCACAGGAGCCCCTTCCAGACTCACGTGGCTGATCTTGACACTCCTTTCTCACCACAGCCTCTGCAGGGCCCCATCTAATCGGGTGAAGGGCACTCCCTTCCGGCCTGTCAAGGCTGTGGCCGTGGACCTGTTCCCGCAGACCCCGCATTGTGAGATGCTCATCCTGTTTGAGAGGGTGGAGTACCCCAATGGCACAGGGGCCCTGGAGCCCCAGGACCCTCCAGCCCAGCCCCCACCAGGGTCCCCAGATGATACCCTGCAGGAAACTGGGGCTTCCACCTCTTCCTAGGTCCCTGGAGCACTAGAAACTTGCCCTTTCAGAATAGGGCCCGGTCTTCATCACCGGGGCAGAAGCCAAGGGGCTCCCCAAGTCCTTGCTTCACCTCAGGATGCTCAGGCAAGCACCTAGAGAGCATGAGACACAGCTGCCCCAACTCAGCCTGTCCCCATGGACCCTAGGCTCTTGTCCCCTACCACCCCCCCCCCCTTCCCAAGTTCCTTTTGGGCTAGCTGGGGCACAGGGTCAGAATAAACCATTGCTGAACTACTGGCATGACTGATGAGCATTCAAGGTTGGCAGATGGGGCCTGCCCTTACTTTATCCCCTACTGCGGGTGGGGGGGCGGGGGAAGCCAGCAGGGCCCCTTGAGCACCCTGCCAAGACTAAGTCTGAGCCCCCAGCTGCCAGTCCCTCCACATGGCCGGGAGTCACAGAAAGTGTGCCAACAGTGCCAGGTCTCCTGCTTATTATCCTAAGAGAAGAAGAAACTGGGAGCTCATGGCTCAGGGCCAGTTGTGCATGTGGGGTGGAGACATGGCAGGGGGCCAGGCCTATCTGCTACAGGTCAGCCCAGCAGGCTGCACCACTCTTCCTGTACCCCGAGGGGAGGTTCCATCCCCAATCTGGCCCGGAGCTCTGAAGGGAGGCCACTGTTATGACCAAAGGCCAGGCTGGGACACTGCTCAGATGTTGCAAAAGCAGTGTCCCCAGGCAAATGCCTCAGCCCTGTGAGACAGGCTAAAGAGGGGGATACTGGCCAGCTGAGGGTCCACAAAGCCCCATAGCCTCACATGGTTAGAAGAAACAAACGCCAGTCATTCCCTTTTGGGACAGTTTTGCTTTATGCATTCAGACAATCAAGGCTCACCCTGAAAGCCACAGCTTAGCCACCACCTGAAAGGTACACAACAGGCAGTGGCCACATGGAGGTGGCATCAGTACAGGCTCTACCTGCCCTCTGCAGCCACAGCATGGCTGTGTGCACACAACACTCACACCCACATAGGAGGGACAGAGGAAGGACACAGGGAGGCTGCAGCAAAGCTCGCTGCCTCTATTAACGTGTGCACGAAGCTTTGGTTCACAATGGCGCATCTGGCTGTTCTGAGAGCAAACACAGTCAAATGATTATTCACAGCTGCAGACAGGAGGCAAGACAGAAGCAAGTATCTAATTACAGCAACTTGATTTAAAGGTTTTGTTTATAAACGTCAACACAGAAGCCAACCTCAGTCACATAGGTGGCAAGGGAGGGATACACTGTGGGTGGCACACAAGACCCAACATTGTCTTCCTGAAAACAAATGCCATCAACACCAACCACGGGGGACATGATGGAGAACAGGCACACCCGTGGAATGTGACAATGCAACCCAGCACTGGGCTCCTGCAGCTGACAGTGCACCATGAGCACACAGCACCCTGAGCAGGCCCTGGTGACAGGGAACTGATGACTACCTGTACCTTGCACATGGGGACAACCAAGGGCCCTAAGCACACCCACATCCTCTGGGGTTCAGGGCAGGAACACACTTATCCCTGCACTGGTCCACAGGAGCCACCTGGAAAACACAGGCTGCTGGTCAAAGTAACAGGCTGGCCACCAGGCCTGGATGCATAGGGCAACTGCCCTTGAAATCCAGTGAAGCCATTGTCACAGGGAAGACAGCCACCGTCCATGTGTTTATGCCAGGTCTGGAGAAGAGCGCCACTTTGTGATCACGGATGGATTGCACTGAGGGTCCTTATTTCCTCTTTTAAAATCCCCGTGCTAAAATGCATTAACTTGTTTATATCTGCTACGTGACTCCAAATCTACCTTCTACTCTCACTGTAAAAGTTTCTTTCCAAATGCTAAAATTTCATAAAAGCTTTAAAAATTGATGGGTGGACAGATGGACTTGACTGTGCAAAAATCATTAGTAAAAAGTTGCCAGAGGCCAGTGAAGGTGAGGGGCCTCATTGTCTTAAGAAGGCGTGTTTTTAGGACATTAAGACTTACTCAGAAAAATGGACCGCACGCCAACCCAGGACCAGGGCAACAAGCCAGGCATACACTGGCAATGCATTTCAAGGATGGCAAATAATCACCTTGAGGGTTTGCCTACAATCTCTGAAAAATAGTTCTGATTCTAAAATTGTGTTTATTTTAAACCAAAAAGGTCTGAAATACTCCTTCCTGTTGTAACCTTTTCAGAGAAAAAGGGAAAACACAAGAGGCAGGGAAGGGGATGGGGGTCCCAGCGTGCGCCTTCTGACCAGGTCCCTGCAGTGGTCTGCGGGAACCCTGGGCACAGGGTACCACAGAACTTTGCCACCACTTTCTCATTTTATCTGACATTTGTCAGTGCATGTTATGTACTGACACACATGAAAACCTTCATCAAACCAGTCTGCAGCAAGTCCACATAAGCAGAGGTTATCCACAGTTATTGTCAAGCTCTTGGCTTCCACCTGTGTGGACAAGCAGAGTCCATCCTTGAACACGCCCACTCAGACCTGTGGGCGGCCCCCAAGGAAGAGCTTCGTGGCCCTGTTGTCCCCATGCACCAGAGCCCCACCCCTCTGGCCCTGACGGCAGAAGCCTGGCCGCAGGGGAGGAACTCAGATCGGAGGCCCGAGGCTGCAGAGTGAGTGGCGTGAGGTCTCCCTGGCAGCAGAGCTGGCAGTCCCCGCGCCTGACCCTGCTGCCTCCCTCATACGTCCACAGTGCACAGGGGCTCGCCACCAGGCTGGGCAGACGCCACAATAGACATCTTGGGTTTCTTTCGTGTCTCCTCCTGAAAGAACAACAAAGGTCAGGGATGCCAACAAAGTAGGAACATGTGGCCAAGCGCAACTTCAGGCAAGAGGCTCCTGAGGCAGGGTGGAAATGTGAGGGGGCAAGCTCAGCACAGTGGTACCAGGTAGCCTCTGGAGTAGGAGGGCACCACTGCTTTGCACTACACCACATGAGAAGGAAGGAAGGTCTGAGGAGTGGACCAGATAGGGGGCTGGCTGGGTCTCCCTGGATGCCATCTCAGAGAACTGTGTGCTGGTGCTTCCCTGGGAAGCAGACCACACTCCCAGAAGTGAAGGGCCAAGGAAGTTACAGCCACCAGGGACAATCACGTAGGTGGTTCTCTGTCCCCATCCCAACTTGAGGGCAGGTTCTCTCTCCCCGCCCCAACTTGAGGTATCTCCTGGACCAGAAAGGCCAAACATACAACAGATTCTCATTCCCCACCTCCCTCTCCCCAGGGTTTTATATAGGCCTCCAGGCAAATACCACAGCTTCACAAGGTCCTAGCCTAGAAGACCCTCAGGCAAGTGGTTTTAGGAAGCTTCATCGGGACTGAGCCTTACCCAGGTTCAATGTTGTGTGAACCATGCTCCTCCCTCACAGAAATGACAAGGACCCAAAGAAGAGGCGGCCCAGGATGGTAGTCTGTGTCCCACAAGACCCTGAGAATGGGAGGCCTGGCTGGTATAACGTCCCTGCCTTCAAACTGAGTACTGAGTGGAAATACCCAGAAGGCAGGTCCTTCACAACCACAGGCCAGGGCTGAGAGTTCTATAATGTAACTAAAAAGTGAATTGATCTGATGCAAATGTCATGAATGCTGAAACGCAAGGAAAAGCACATCTACCCTAGAAGTGTTGAGGCTGACTTCCCTCCCACAGCTGCCAAGGTGGCTGTGCTAGGTGCCCCTCCCCTCCCTTGAGGGCAAGAGGATGAGGGTGCGGAGGGGCCTTTGGTGCTGGCTGGGCCTGCACACTCACCCTCTCCTCAGCCAGCCTCTTCATCTCCTCCTGTAGTTTGCTCAGGATGTGCAGGTTTGGCTTGTTCTTCTTGGCATATTGCTGCAGCTCAATCACACTTTTGTCCGAGGTCTCCTGGGGAGCACAGCACCTTGCTCTCAGGACTGCCTGGGGCAGGCCCCACAGACATATTACGGCCAGCAGCCAGAGCTGCACTCCCAACCCACACCTGGCAGCTGACACAGCCACAGAGAACGCAGACCAGTCCACAGCTGCCCAGCTCACTTTCTGACCATACTACCCCCACTTCTGCCTCACCCTGAGCAGGCAGAAGCCACAGCCTCTTCCCTTCATGGGGCAAAGGCATCCTGGCACCCAGCTGCCTCCACTCCTGCCATTGGCTGGGCACTTGTACTGCCCAGACCCTCAGAGTGGAACGATCAGAGTACGGCCTCCACCAGCAGGGACAGCATGCTGCCCGATGGGATAAACCCTGGCACTGGGGCCCAGCTGGGAGCCCATCAGCCCTAGACACTGCGCTCTCTGCATATCTGCAAACCCTCCAACTTTGAGAACAGGATCAAGCTGTCCTGAGGCCCTTCCTGTCTGAAAAGGCCATCTCTGAGGCCGCCTGCCGTGCCTTCGAGTGTCAGACTCCACCTGTCCTCCAAAAGATACAGGCTGAGGCTGTGCCTAGACTGGACGCTCATCCTCCAACTTAGGGAGAGTTCCCACTCACAGGCCAAAGCAGGCTTTTCTCAATCTTAGCCCAAACAAGATACAGCACAAAAGTAAAGGCACATGAAGGCAGAAATCAGCCTCATCTGCAGTCATTGGAGTTTTCTCAGCAACACATATCTGGAGGTTCCTCTCTAAGTACCCTGGGGGCCCAGTGTCACCTCCTTAGATGCCACATGGCCACCCCTCCCCTCACTGGGATGCAGGTAACCCAGACTATTTCTGGAAACATCAGGGTAAAAATAAACGTAAACACCTCCCAGGGCTTCCCTCCACCCCACAAAACATACAAACCTAAGGGTACTGGTTTAAATCTCTCGATCTCGGCAAAACATCAGAAACTAAACACATGACGTGCACAGGTGTTTAGTTAAAAAAAACTGGTGTTCATAAGCAGGAAGGGGTGGCCTGCATCTCCTACTCTCCCTTAAGCTTCTAGGGGTCCTCAAATTAATCCAAGGGCTTGCAGTTCCGGTGTGGGGGAAGGGGAGACACCAGGTCTCAGCTCAGAAGCTTCCTCTCCACTGGGGCTGGCAGCACTCACCACCTGTACCTCCTGCTGGGCAGGCTCACCCCACACAGCCAGAGCCAGGCCCAGGCTCCTCAGGGAGGGAGACACAGCATGAATGACCACCTCCCACCCCCAAGGTCACAGACATGGCCCAGCAGAGCGCCTGAGAAGCAGCCTTGAACAAGAGCAGAGCTGCCCAACACTATCTCCGGTGACAGCAGGACCTCAAACAGGTGTGCCACGGTGGAGGGAGGATGATAAGCACAGAGGCTGCCCTAGGTCCTGGGGAGGAGCCTGGTTACCTGCTTGACCATCTTGCTGCTTTCGCGACCATACATGCGCAATAAAGACCCCCAATTCTTGACATGTGGATGCAGCAGCTGAAGGATTTTCTGAGAGGCTAACTGTTTTCCAACTCTCTTATTCTTACCTGTGAGGAAGGAAGAGGAAATGTGGAGAGGGAGTCACTAGAACATTCAGCTGTCAACATGGCCACCTTGCCTAGAGAGGAGACACACCTGCCATTCCCCCACCCAGCAAACGGCATGTTCTACAGGAGGGGGTACAGACGTCTTCCACCACTGCAGTGGGCACTGGAGTCTTACAAAGCTGAGACCAGGACCCACCCTAACCCCATTTAGCAGAACAGCTCCCTCAAAGGCTTCAGAAAATCAGAATGGGCCCAAGGTCATAACTTACAAGGCCTCCCTCCCACCACACCCTACACTTCCAGAGATACAGACAAGCAAAACGAGTACCATGAAGCACATAGCCCAAGGCTCCTTGGGGACAGGCACAGGCGGGGGAGGCTCTGCCAGAAAGCCCAGAGGAGTTTCCAGAGGGTGTATGAACTTTGAAAGAGGAGTTTCTATGTATGCAGAGGGAAGGTGGGGCCAGGGAGCAGAGTGGGTCTGAGTGCCAGGAGATGCCTATGGCCAGACAGACCAAGGTGGCCACACTTCCCAGATAGGGAGGTCAATGGTGCCAGCACTCCTTCTATGCCACACCTGCCTGCTCCAGAAGGTGTCTCAGTGAGGACTAATATCTGCTGAATCACAGGGGACACCCAGGTCTGTGAGTTCTGTGATTTTCCCAAGGCCAACTTCTGTGTTACTTTCTAATTTACATAGCACTGGTTTTGTGTTTATAGTAGTCATACAAAGTTTTCTTTTAAAATAAAGTTGTTTTCAGAAGTGGTTACTTTAGGGGTGCCTGGATGACTCAGTCAATTAAGCATCTGACTCTTGATTTCAGTTCAGGTCATGGCCTCAGTGTGTGAGTTTGAGCCCCACGTCAGATTCTGCACTGACCGTGCAAAGCCTGCTTGGGATTCTCTGTCTCCCTCTTTCTCTGCCCTTCCCCCCACTCATATATGGCACACTCTCTCAAAAATAAACATTAAAAGATAAGATAAAATAAAATGTAGTTATTTCAAAAACCAAATTCAGTGGGGCGCCTGGGTGGTTCAGCCAGTTAAGCATCCACTGGCTCAGGTCACGATCTCATGGTTTGTGAGTTCGAGTCCTGGATCAGGCTCTATGTTGACAGCTAGCTCAGAGCCTGGAGCCTGTCTTCAGATTCTGTGTCTCCCTCTCTCTCTGTCCCTCCCCTGCTCACACACACTCTCTCTCTCTCTCTCAAAAATAAACATAAAAAAATTTTTTTTAAATAAAGAAGTTAAAAATAAATAACCAACCAAATTTGGTAAATACTGCAGGTGGTGTACACAAAGACCAGAAATGGGGCAGGCACATCACCCAGCACAGGGACACAGAGTAGGGCAGGGCAAGGGCTCTGCTGCCATTCTAGGACATCCCTCCTCCTGCCACAGGGACCATGGGCTGGATGGGGCACTAGTGGCAGGGAGGGGGAAAACATGGCCTAGCCAAAGTGACCAGCCCAAGCCCAGGAACTAGGAGGATAGGGTTGGTACAGGCAGGACTACCACAGTCCCACCTCAGACTGACAGGCTTTCAGACAGAGGTCGATAGGAGATGCCAGTGGACACGGAGGACTGCGGGTGGTCAGCACACAAGGCAGGAGCTTGGGAGTGATGCCAGGGTAGTGGCCTGAGACTAAGCCCCAGAGGCTCAGGGCTCCCAGACAGGCCACATGGCAGTGTGCAACCTCCCCAGTGGTCAAAGGAAATTGCAGTGGGGTGACAGGGAGGAGGGAGGCAGTCCTTACACCAGCCGCGCACTGTGTGTTTGCCGCACGCCATGACATATTCACTCTTCTGGTTTTTACCAGGAACCACTTCAAACTTGATGGATGTATCACCCATTCCATGGTTTCTTAAAGGAAAAACATAGACAACCAGTGCCATCAGCTGAGGACAAAGAAATGACAGCTTCAGGATAGGCTTTAAAGGCTCAATGAAGACAATGCCAACCCTTTCCCCAAACCGCACATCTCAGCTGAAAAGGAGGGGATTCTCCTGATCCGATCTCATAGGCTCTGACTGACCAGCAGGCACAGGGGCTCCTGTGCACACAGGGAATACTTGCAATGGCTTGGCCTTTAGCATCACCTCTTGAACCAGGATAAACAGCTAGTAAAGACATTGGGCACCAAAAGAAAAGCCCCCACACAACCCTACTCAGAAGGGGAAGCACCCGCCCTACCTTTTAAGGCACTCGTGAAGGATCTGATAGGGAGACAACAGTCCGGCCTTGCTGGTCAGCTCGTAGACCCGTGAGTCCTCGATACTGATGTGGTTAAAATACTACAAAACAAAGCAGCCACTCCTAAGAACTGGACCGAGCCTGCTGGCCTCACGGAGCTGTTCCCCATGCTGTCTGCTTCCCCCAAAAGCTTCCTGTCATCTTTACTGCCTTGAAGAGCACATTGCGCCCCCACCTCATTGTCCAGCGGTCCCTCTGAGACAGGACAAGCAGTGCTGTGCTAGGTTGGAGAGTATGCTACAACGGGGTGGCAAAGCCTGGTGCTGCCTGGGAGCCTTTTCTGAATCTGAGTCTGATCAATTAGAAATCTAAAGACAGACAACCTTAGAAAAAAATTTTGAAGATCATCGTAAGTGAGATTATAGAAGACAAAAGGTAAATCAGACAAAAGAGATGCACTCTAAAAAGGCCAAGCTCAGGGGCGCCTGGGTGGCGCAGTCGGTTAAGCGTCCGACTTCAGCCAGGTCACGATCTCGCGGTCCGTGAGTTCGAGCCCCGCGTCAGGCTCTGGGCTGATGGCTCAGAGCCTGGAGCCTGCTTCCGATTCTGTGACTCCCTCTCTCTCTGCCCCTCCCCTCTTCATGCTCCGTCTCTCTCTGTCCCAAAAATAAATAAACGTTGAAAAAAAAAATTTTTTTAAAAAGGCCAAGCTCTCTGAAGGCTGTGAAGGGCCTGGCCTGGCTCCTGTTTCAAACACAGAGTCATCCTGTCCTAGCTCTGAAACCAACTGCTATGCCCAGAGAACAGAACAACTAAAGGGTTAATGGGAAACCACTTAACCAGTTGAGGGGAAAAAAGAGAAGTTCTGCACAACAGTGGCAGGCAGCAGCCAGGAGGCAGCGTTGACCCCAACCAGACTTGGGCCTCTGCTGAGCCGCCCTCTGTGAACGGAGGATGTGGCCTAGTTCACTCAGCACAGCCCACCTCCCTGGTGGGGATTGCTGGGCTTCTGGGGTTGCCATAGCAAGGTACCACCAAGTGGGTGGCTTATTTATTTTTTCACAATTCTGGAGGCCAGAAGTCCCAAAGCAAGGTGTCAGCAGGCCATATTCCCTTTGAAACCTCTATGAGAGATTCTTTCTGGACCTTCCCAGGTTTTGGCAGCACCAAGCTTTCTTTAGCATCACTCCCAACTCCACCCAGCCCTCTCTCCACTTCCCTCCCTCTTCTTACAAGAACACAACACTTATAAGAACACTACTCTGGGCAGGGAGGCAGGAGTTCCTCTCTCAGCGGACTGTGACTGAGTCAAGGAAAGCAAGGTGCCATTTCTAAAGGGAATTGCTGATTCTGGTGAGCTAGAAATCTCCCTACTCTCATTTGGCTACAGTTTCCAACAGGTCCCCACAAGATACCTCCACTTACGAGCATCTGCATCAGCATGGATCAGTTTCCAGGGAAAGTTATTCACCAAGACATCAGGCCCTAGACCTTAGTGGCTAGCCAGGCAGCCGACCCATCCATGGTGGCTGGCTCTCTCATTTCAGCCTTTTGATAACCCAGTCTCTAACCAGCAGTCGGCACCTGGGCTGTGGACCTGTGGTCAGACTGAGCAAGACCACCTGTGTACCCACGATCCTCCCTGACAGAGCCGAGGCAGACACACACATGGCAGAAGAACACACACTAAGAAGCCCAAAGATATCCAACAGACGCTGGCAAAGGCCAACTGTGGTATGGACCACAATTACCTACACCAAGAGCCACAGTCACATGTTGCAGGTTAACCTGCAAGGAGCATATAGAGACTATAGTACAAAGGGCAGAAGTGGCCCAATGACAACAGTACAGAAGAAGTTTGGATCACTGGTGCCCAACAGATACTGAAAGACCCTGAGAGAGCACCACAGACAGACCAGCACCCATAAACCCAACAATTTAAATAAAATGGACCAATTCCTTGAAAAGTGCAAATTACCCAAACTGCTCTATTCAAGAAGTTGAACTTGTAGTTAAAAGGTCCCTTCAGGGGCGCCTGGGTGGCGCAGTCGGTTAAGCGTCCGACTTCAGCCAGGTCACGATCTCGCGGTCCGTGAGTTCAAGCCCCGCGTCAGGCTCTGGGCTGATGGCTCAGAGCCTGGAGCCTGTTTCCCATTCTGTGTCTCCCTCTCTCTCTGCCCCTCCCCCGTTCATGCTCTGCCTCTCTCTGTCCCAAAAATAAATAAACGTTGAAAAAAAAAATTTTTTTTTTTTAAATAAAATAAATAAATAAATAAATAAAAGGTCCCTTCAAAGAAAACTCCATACTCAGATCGTTTCATTGGCAACAACTACCAAATATTTAAGAAAAAAAAAATGATACCAATTCTAGACAATCTTTCAAAACACCACAAGAGGAGGGACAATTGCCAATTCATTTTATGATGTTAGCAGTACCCTTATTAACACCAAAGAGAACTACAAACTAATAATCCTCATAAACACAGGTGTAAAAATCCTACATAGAGTATTAGCAATTTGTAACCATTAACACATAAAAACAAATCTATGCCATGCCCAAGAAAGGACTTAGCCCAGGAATGCATTAAAAAAAAAAAAAAAAATCAATCAACATAATACATTATATCAACAAATTAAGGAGGAAAAAGTCTGTAATATCAATTGGTAAGGAATAGAAGAATCCTTCCTCAACCTGATAGAGGGCATCAACAAACAACTAACACCTAACATCATATTCAATGGTCAGAGACTGTATGCTTCACCCCAAGATCAGGAACAAGACAAGGATGTCCACTCTCCCCACTGCTACTCAACATGTAATGGAGCTTCTAATCAGAGTAGTAAGGCAAGAAAAAGAAACAAAAGGCATCTAGATTGGAAAGGAAGAAATCAAACCATCACAGTCAACCTGGTCTGTACACAGAAATCCCAAAGAAATCTACAGAAAAACTACTGGAACTAATAAAGCAGTTCAGCAAAGCCACAAGACATACGATCAATATACGACAGTAAATGAGATTGCTATACACTAGCAATCAACAGAACTGAAACTAAAGTGCTACTCACAACAGCTCCAAAACACATGTGAAATACTCAAGTCCAAATCTAGTAAAACATGTGAAAGATCTGCATACTAAAAATGACCAAACACTAATAAAAGACATTAAAGATTTCAATAAATGGAGAGATACACTGGGTTTGTGAACTGAAAGACTCAATACTGTTAGGAAGTCCATTCTCTCCAAATTTATCTACAGATGTAACACAATTCCAATCAAAATCTCAACAGAACTTTTTGTACTAACATACTGTTTCTATACGGAAGGGAAAAGTAGCTGGGGTAACCAAAAAGTGCTTTTGAAAAAGAACAAAGTTTGAGGGTTCCCACGGATTCCAAGAATTCATGTCATCAAGAAGGTATGGCATTGGTGAAAGGTCACACAGATCAAGGAGACAGAGTACAGAGATAGACCCCCACACACATGCTCATCTGGCTCGACAGACATGCAAAGGCACCCAGTTGGACATATACTTATGATACAGCCCAGCAAGGCCATCTTGGGTGCTTAGCTACACTCACGTGGAAAACCGGAGAGCCTCACAGCAGCCAAATGCTAATCACCCAAAAATGGAAATGCACTCAACACCCCTCAAGTGAGAAGAACATACTAGGCACTGCCCTGCAATAGGCACACTCAGCAGCAAAAATTACCCAACCATCGACACCAGCACCAACACAGATGATTCTCAAGTGCATCACTGAGTTGGAGCTTGGTTCTAAGGCTACCTCCCCTGTGACTCCACTGATAAGACATTTGGGAATTGGATAACCTACAGAGATAGCTCAGTGACTACCAGGGTAAAAAGAAAGTTTTGACTACAAAGGGGCACAAGGGGCAGTTTAAGAAAACTGGGAGGGGGAGAACATTTGAAAATGTCTTGATTGTGCTGTTGGTTACATGACAAAACTACACGTTTCAAAATTCACAGAAGTGTACCAAAAAGTGCATTTACCACTCTATAATTTTTTTTAATTTTTTGAGAAAGTGAGCAACTGTGAACACACACGAGCAGGGGAGGGACACAGGGAGAGGGAGAGAGAGAATCCCAAGCAGGCTCCACACTATCAGTATTGAACCTGATGGAGGGCTCAATCTCATGACCTGAGCCAAAATTAAGAGTCGGACACTTAACCAATCGAGCCAACTAAGTGCCCCGAACTCTCTATTAAAACCTAAATTGGTCGGGGGCGGGGGAAGGGAACCAAAAAAAAACCAAGTCACTAATGCCTAAATTCTAGAACAAGCATGAACCAACCACAACCCACAGCTACCTAAAAAGCTATAAAATACTAAGAAGAAATCACCCCAGGTCTTGTGAAAAGGCTCAGTACCAGTTCTGCTCATCTGTTAATCAACACCAAACATGCTATGCCCTGAGCCTCTGCTTCCATGGCAATTCTAGAATTCTGGATATTCTATATCCACACCACCATTGCATGTGGACTTTGTGCCACTGTACCTCAAGGACAGCAGTGCATAGCGAGAGCTCCCAAAGAACCAGGGCCTGCCCAGCCAACCTTGGCATCCTGCCCCACAGCTGGAACTCTGGAGCCACACCTCCACAAGGGCACCACCACCCACCCACCAAGCTACTGACAAGGATGTGACAGAAACACTGTCACAATTTTTCAGGAGCAAGACAGCAATTCCTATCAGTCATGATTGTGCTGCTCTAGTACCTTCAACCTGACAGAAAAGCTACTTTCTTCTCTGAAAAATTTTAAAATGGGAAGTAAGTACACACATATAACAATTAAATTCTAAGTGTGAAGAAAAACCTCTCCAGAGGATGAGGACATTTTTGGTCATCAGACACATATCTGGTCCTTGTATCCAGTTCAGGGAGCGCCTAAAACTTTAGAATTTCCTAATAGGAGTATCTTTTGTTATTCAAAGGAGTCCCTCTGGACCTCATCTGAGTTTATGCTAATTAGGCATGGTGGGGGGCAGAGCCTAGACAGCTTCATGAGGGGGCTGGTCACCAGAAAGACCAACCATGATTAAGCACCTCTTCATCTGGCTGTCCATTTGTATTCTTAATAATAAACCGGTAAACGTAAGGAGTTTCCCTGAGTTCTGAGAGCAAATTCTAAAAAAGTTCTCATTCAAGCAAATTAATGAACCCAAGGGAAGGCATGGAAACCCCTGAATCTGTAGTTGGCTGGTCAATGTGGGTGGCCTGCACACCCCATTTGTGGCTGGAATGTGAAGTGTGGGCAGTCTTTTGGAACTGAGCCAACTCCATGTAAATAGTGTAAGAACTGAGCAAAGTTGTAGACACCTAGCTTGTGTCAGAGAATTGGAGAACCAACATGAAAAAGTCCCTTGTGTGTACAAGGGAACTTTTATACCTGGGATTTCCGAGCTGCCCACATAGCCTCCTCTACCTGGGAAGACCTCCTCTCACAAGCTTGCCTTTTCTTTTTTTTTTTAATTTTTTAATGTTTATTTATTTTTTAGAGAGAGAGACAGAGTATGAGTGGGGTAGGAGCAGAGATAGAGAGGGAGACCTAGAATCCGAAACAGGCTCCAGGCTCCGATCTGTCAGTACAGAGCCTGCTGTGGGGCCAGAACTCGGGACCAGCGAGATCATGACCTAGGCTGAAGTTGGACACCCAACCAACTGAGCCACCCAGGCACCCCTCTCAGGCTACTTTCTGATGTTATTTCTGGAAAGATCCCTCACTTTCCAGAAGAGCACCAGAGTACATGGCCAGATCCTGAATCTTCCTACTATCCAGCACAACCTGAGGCACAAATTCCAGAAAACTGCAGTCTCTGTCACAGCAGATGCCTCACTAGAGGTGCTGATGTAAAAGGCTCCAGGGACAAGGATGCAGCCACAATGACCTTACAGACTGTACAGGGCAGGAGGAAAGGTGGAAAATGAAAGAACTGAGCACAAAGACTGCCAACTGGTCATCATCAAAACCATGCACTCTAGAGAAGAGGTAACCACCAGTCTCTGACCACCAAGCATGAGGTAGAGACAGGGTTGACATCACAGTCTGGGGCAAGCTCGTAGCCCTCCAAGAGTGTATACCACCAGACAGCCACATATGAGGCCACATGCAGGTGGTGGGACTGCAAAAAGCAGCTGGGACAGAGCAGGTAACTGGAGCGACAGACCACTCTTCAACACACAAGGCTGGGAGAGCCATGGAACACCCCTGGGTCCCTAAGCTGGCCAGAATGAAACTGGGAGGTCCCTGCTTAGGGAACTACAATGGTGCCAAATACAAAAGTGAACTAAAGCCAACAGTAAGCACAGAGACTTTCAGATTAAAAACTGGACTGAAATGCTAATTCATTCAGTTAATAACCAACCAAGCCAGATGCTGGTATCTTAGAGGCCACAACACTAAATGGAGACCATCTTGGATCTTATCTTGAAACCAGGTGTTCCTAACACTTGCTGTACTAACCCTGGAGAATTTTCCATTATCTCAACATGTCAAAAATTTCTTAAATCAACTATAATTTACTGAGTTACTTTAAACTTTACGACAATAGCCACAGGCAGTGGGGCGTGGGTGCTGCATGCTTAGACAGGTAAGACACACATCCCCACCGCATTGGGCAACAGCAGAGGCTACTCAGATGAGCTGCTATGACAAAGCAAAGCTCCATCTTCCAAAAAGGCTGCTGGAGCCGCACATCCCCTGCTTGCCTAGGCCAAGCTGACTCCCAGCACCAGAACCATAGCTACCCCTTCCAGTTTCTGCTACCCCGTATCAGAGAATGGTGGCGTGCAACCTATATAGCCCATGCATCATCAACTGCAACAACCAATCCTAAGGGCCTTGGCAGGCTATGGGTAGAGGTGTAGGTAACAAGTTCTCCAACATGCCTTGGAAGCCTCCCTGAACAACCATTGTTCCATAGTTAGGTTATTGAGAAATAAAGTTGAAAATGTGATTTTTCCTGGAGGAGCTAGCCTTTTTGAGATTTTGTTTGCTGAGTGGGCTCTGTGATCTGTCTATGGCCCATCTATGACAATAAAGCACAAAAAATAGACACCCGAGTGCAATTTAAACTGCCATGGGCACTTTACCATATTTTAGAATAGTCTCAGTCTAAAAAGATTGGAAAAAATGTTTAGTTTTTTTAATGTCAATTTATTTTCGAGAGAGTGTGCACGCATAGGAGTAGGGGAGGGGCAGAGAGAAAGGACAGAGGATCAGAAAAAGGCTCCTCGCTGATAGGAGAGCCCAATGTGGGGCTTGAAACCATGAGATCATGACCTGAGCTGAAGTCAGACTTAACCAACTGAGTCACCCAGGTGAATACTGTTTTATATTTTGTCTTTTTTGTTGTTGAAAAAAAGTTTTTAAATTTTTTTTTCAACGTTTTTTTATGTATTTTGGGGACAGAGAGAGACAGAGCATGAACGGGGGAGGGGCAGAGAGAGAGGGAGACACAGAATCGGAAACAGGCTCCAGGCTCCGAGCCACCAGCCCAGAGCCCGACGCGGGGCTCGAACTCACGGACCTCGAGATCGTGACCTGGCTGAAGTCGGACGCTTAACCGACTGCGCCACCCAGGCGCCCCTTGAAAAAAAGTTTTAAACG